AACTGTCTTCCTGTGCCTATACAAAAAGGACATTGCTAAACCATGCAAATGACATAAAAGAGAGAAGCAATATAGGATTATTAGTGCCTGGTGTAGTTGGGTGTGCATCAGGAGCACTGCATGGCAGTAACTAAATAAATCTAAGCTTCTTGTGGAGGAGCAAGGACAAACCAATGTTATCCAACAGGCATGTGTCTCACCCTCTGTCCTAGCTCTCCAGTCCTAGTTAGGTCTTTTATAATTTTCTTTCAACAGTATGTAGGTTTCAGAGCACATATTGATTTATTTATGTATGATGTTAGTGTGTGTTACACGTGTATGCACATGTTCCTCAGGGCCTCACATTGCAAGGCATGTAATCTGCCACTGAGCCACTTTCCTAGAACCCAGATGGCATTGTTTACTCCTTTTTTTTTTGTTTTAGTTTGGGGGTTTGTACCATCAAGTCCTCGATGGATGTATCTGATGCTAGCGTACGTGCATTGAAAGTACAGACGATCATTTTTGTCTTCCTTCGTTGTGGCAGCCTAGTTCGGCCTTGAGATTTTATCGGCCTCTCCTTTCTCATCGTTCTCAGTGCTACCATGTCGGTGAAGCCTTCAGGGTCAGGTGAATGAGACCAGTTGTAGTTACTGGTTTTGGCATATCGAATACACAACGGATAGCTTGCCAAGCTCTTCCATGCGGGTGGAATACTCTCGGTAGCTTGCCAGTCTTTCCGAGAAGGATAGAGGCTTTTGGGGCGACCTCTAATCGCCCTTGTAGGTGTTACCATATTTGAACCCTATCAAATATGGTACGACAATTTCGGAAGATGGGTATTTAGTGTCTTATGATGTGTTGTGCAGCCGCTTTGTGGCCGCGCGGGTCCAGAAAGCATCCTGGAGTGTGGCGACAGCTGGGTAGTGGAGGAAGTGTCGATAGTGGAAGTCTGCCAGTGGGGTATTTATCTGGGTAGGGTGGGTCTTCTGTGCGCAATCTGATCCCTGGGTGGTTGGTGGAAGCAGACAGGGCAGGGTAGGGTGGGGCTCCTGATTAGAATCCCTTTGTCACCTGTGGTTGGTGGGAGCAAGCAGAGAATCTCTGTCCCTGAGAGATGGAACAAGCGCGAATGATCAAGTATGACATCATTGATCTGAGTGAGACAAGAAGGCACGAATCTCACCATGCTGTTTTCAACACTGGAGAAGAATTGTTCCTCGGAACATGCGATAAAAGAGGTGTCAGAGGCGTCGGTGTCCTTGTCAACACAAACTTGGCCAAGAGCATTGATTCATTCGAATGCCTAACAACCCGAATCGGACGTTTACATTTGAATAGATGTGGCTCACTGCCTGCAGTTTCTATCTTCGTTGTCTAGCACCAACATCTCATTATGATGAAAGAGAAATCGAGAAGTTCTACATGGAGCTGGAGAAGTTCTATAAAGAAGACCACACCTTCTACAAGATCATTGTGGGTGATTTTAATGCCAAGATAGGACCGAGAAGATCAGCTGAAGAACTTCACATCGGGACCCATGGCCTAGAATGGAACGAACAGGGTGAGAGACTGTCAGAGTTCATCATGTCGACCAAGACCATTCATGGTAACTCACAGTTCCAGAAGGCAGAACCTAACGTTGGACATGGGAGTCTCCCGGTGGACGATTCCACAACGAAATAGACCACATCATATTCAATCGACGGTTTTGCCTGACCGATGTCCCTGTTGTCCCAAAATTCCGAACAGGATCGGACCACCGTCTCCTTCGTGCAAAATTCTGCTTCACAGAGCGGGGAGAAAGGGCTGCAAAGTTCAAAAAGAGAACTCCCAGAACGACCACCAACTGGGAACTCTTTGGCACTATTGCGGCAACATGGGAAGATGCCATTGTTGACAACATTGACGAGGAATACGATCGACTGGTTCAGCACCTCCATGAATGTGCGAGAAATGCCAAGAGAGAGATAGCCACAAAAAAATGCCTGTCTTCGAAAACTCTTGAGCTAATTCGCCAGCGTGGTTTGGCGCATGCCTCAGGCAACCGCAAGCTAACGTCCAAGCTCGCAAAGCAGTGCAGAGATGCGATCAAGGAAGACCTCAAAGAGAGAAGAGCAGAAGTGCTGGTAGATGCGGCAGAAGCCGGGAAAAGTATTCGTAACGCCCGCCTGTCCTTCACCAACTACAAGACCAAGATGACTGCCCTCCGACGTCCTGATGGATCCATCACATCCTCCAGAACGGCAATAGAGAAGATTATCCATGACTTCTACTCAAATCTCTTCGATAGCCATGTCCACTTGCCGACATACCAAATTCCACAGGATGGATATGTCGTTCCCAACGTTCTCCCTTCCGAAATCTGACACGCCATTTCGTGGGTAAAGAAGCAAACAGCACCCAGCCCAGACAAGGTCAGACCTGAACACCTGAACAACCTGCCGTCAGTACTCATCAATACACTGGCTCGGCTCTTCACTCGCTACCTGTCTGAATGCAAGGTTCCGTCCCAATGGAAAACCAGCAGGACCGTACTACTGTTCAAGAAGGGAAACATCCATGACATTGGCAACTATCGCCCGATCTGCCTATTGTCTGTCATCTACAACTTGTTCACTCGAGTGATCCTAAATAGGATTGGCAGAACACTAGATGAAGGACAACCATGCGAGAAAGCCGGGTTCCGCAAAGGATTCAGCACCATCGACCATATCCACACGATAACCAAGCTCATTGAGGTTTCTCAGGAGTTCAAGATGCCGCTCTGTCTAACGTTCAATGATTTAAAGAAGGCCTTTGATTCTGTTGAGATGGAAGCGGTCATTGAAGCCCTAGCCAATCAGGGCATTCAAGCCCAATACATCAAGATCATCCGTGAGCTGTATTGCAGATTCACTACCAGGATCTCACCATTCTACAAAGAAGTGATCGTTGATGTCAAGAGAGGTGTTCGGCAGGGTGATACCATTTCACTGAAACTCTTCAGTGCCACCCTCGAGAACATCATGCGACGACTGGAATGGGAAGGAATGGGAGTGAAGATAGATGGTCGGCAACTACACCACCTCCGCTTTGCTGATGACATTGTTTTAATAACACCAAACATCAGCCAAACGGCACAAATGCTGGCCGACTTTGACTGTGAGTGTGGAAAGGTAGGACTACAGCTGAATCTTACGAAGACAATATTTATGAGAAACAGCTTCGTTCCTGATGCCCCATTCGCTCTCAACGGAACGACCATCTCCAAATGCAACAGCTGTGTGTACCTAGGTCGAGAAGTCAACATGACAAATGACCTGGCACCCGAGCTGTGCAGGAGGAAGAGAGCGGCTTGGAACGCCTTCAAGAACGTCGAAGAAATAGCTAAGAGGACGAAGAACCTCCGGCTCTGGGCACATCTCTTTGATTCCACTGTTCTTCCTGCATTAACATATGCCTCAGAGACCTGGGCCCTACGCAAACAGGATGAGAACGCTATTCAGGTCTCCCAAAGAAGAATAGAAAGAGCTATGCTTGGAATATCACGTTTCACTCAAATGAGAGAAAGAATCCGGAATTCCGACATCCATCGACGATCAAGAATCAAGGATGCTGTCTCATTTGCCAAGGTGTCAAAAATCAGATGGGCTGGTCACGTAATGAGATGTAAAGACGACCGCTGGACTAGAGCTGTTACCGACTGGATTCCACGGGATGTCAAAAGACCACGTGGCCGCCCACCTACCAGATGGTCAGACTTCCTCCTCAAGATCATGAATGATCGGTTTGAGGCTCTTCATGTTCCCAGAGCGAACAGATGCCATTGGGCTACACTAGCACACGGCAGGGACAAATGGAGACGTTACTGGCGCCCGCTCGAGCAAATCGACGACTAACGGGAAGTTAAGTGATTAAGTGAAGTGAGGTTTGGGGGCCACACACAGTGATGTTCAGAGGTTACTCCTGGCTCTGCACTCAGGAATCAGTCCTGGTGGTGCTTGGGGGACCATTTGGGATGCCAGGAACAAACCAGGGTTGGCCATGTGCAAGCAAGTACCTAATCTGTACTATCTCTCTGACCCCCTAGAATTATTTCATTAATTTTACTTTTACTTATATAAGGAGTAAAATTCATTTCGAACTTTCTAAATTTTACTTTTAAAAGTTTACTGTACTATGTTTATTGTTGTTGTTATTATTATTAGTTTGGTTTTTAGGCGACACCAGTGGTCCTTGGGGCTTACTCAGGGATCACACCTGGTAGGCTCAGGGACCCATATGGGTTGCCGGAATTGAACTCAAGTTGTCTTCATGCAGGGCAAATGCCCTACCCACTGAACTATTGCTTCAGCAATACAGTAGTGTTATCATCTACCCCACCCCTCCGTGTTCCCCGATTCACCTCATTGCCTGGGTAACCTCAATTCTGTTGTCATAATCCAAGGGTGTGTTTTCATTTGCCTCAAAATTTTTTTTGTTTTTAAAATTTTTATTATTTCCTTTTGCTTTTGTTTCATTTCTCTTCCTTGAGCTTCTTTTTGGAGACTTTGGGTTTGCTGGCCTTTTTGTATAGGTTATACCCAATGAGACCCCGGAGGGCTGGCACCATGGACATGCCTACCAGAGGCAGAATGCCCCTCACCAGCTTTTGCCAGTGAGATCAGCTCCACATCAAATTGCAGCACTGCATCTGCTGGGATTGATGGTGGAAATCCCTGCTTTCCACAGGCCGGTGCGAAGGAATAATTGCCCTTCGCTTCTCTCCCACACACATGTCTAGAAGGCTCTGCTCCAGACCTGGGATCACCTACTTCTGGCCAAGTTCTATGACCAGAGGGTCTCTGATGAGGGAAGTGTCAATAATGCGGCCATCTACCAAGCTGCCCGTGTAGTGGATGTGCAGCGTGTCTCCCACGGCGGTGGGCTCGGCACATGGCTCTGGGGGCTGCACCTGGGGTTGCATGGCAGGCGTCACCGGGGCTCCTTGGGGCCCCGCTCCCCACAGCCTCACAAATTTTTTAAATTTTCTTTTTCAGGTTTTGATCTACACTGGCAGTGCTCAGGGGAACTATATGTAGTGCAGGATTCGAACTATTGTCACAGCCACAATCACATGTAAGGTAAGTGCCTTAACCTCTGTACTATCTTATTGGATAACACTGGTTTGTCTTTGCTGTTCCCACAGGAAGCTTAGGTTTGAGTTACTCCCACCACAGTGCTCCTGAAGCATACCAAATTACATCAGGCACTAATAATTCTATATTGCTTTTCTCTTTCTTTTGTGTCCTTTTCATGGTTTAGCAATGTCCTTTTTGTATAGAAATTGGAAGACAGTCGATGTATGCTTTTGTAACATGGGAATTAATTGACTCTGAATAATATTTACTCTTAGGCACCCATCATATTTACTTGACTTAAGCCTCAGTTGCCCTTACTTCCTTAAATGCCCAAAAGGAAGGTTCCTTGCCCTTGGATGGATCCAGGGCAAGCTGTAACTCCCCTGGCATTGAAAAGGGACAGGCTAAGCCCCCATAAGAAGTATAACAAGTCAAGAGTATGGTCATGGAACAAACTCTGTCATGAACCAAAAAGAAGTAACAGAATAAGGACCCTGCTGGGGTTAGAAAACACTACCTGGTCTGAGGACTGTAGTCTGGGATATATAGCAGATGACCCCAGGAAGATCCACCCTTTAAGCTTAATATATCTCTTACTGTGTTCATAAAAAATGACTAGAAATATTAGTAAGAAGTAAATTTAATATGATTTGTTTAAACGGATTACAGCACAGAGGGTAGGGCGTTCGCCTTACAAGCGGCCAACATGGCCGACCCGAGTTAGATTCCTCCGCCCCTCTCGGAGAGCCCGGCAAGCTACCGAGAGTATTCAATATGCCAAACACAGTAACAACAAAGTCTCCAATGGAGACGTTACTGAGTCCGCTCGAGCAAATCGACGATCAACGGGAGGGCCTTTACCTTTACCTTTACTAGCTGAGGAAAGGAGAAAGCAATACTCCTTTAGATGGAATTCCATCCTTGAGTGGATCTCCTAGTAATCTAGAGTGCTGAAGTCCCAGATGAGATTTTGTCCCTGAGGTAATCTCCTAGAACTTCCCTGAAGGAGGGGCTTTACATCTGTATATTGTTATGATAATATTCAACACTAATTACATGTACCCCCACCCTTCATGATTTCTATATTACTATACTGTGAGACTTGGAGAAAGTTTCACTGATTATCAACCAGCCTGTGGACCCATTCCTTCATTCCTATTCTTTCATTTGTCCATCATTTGTTGGCCAGCCAGGGGAATAGTTCTCGGCCACTAAAAGCACTCACGCTTTGAACTCACACTATCTCTCTGGCCCAGAATTGGTTTTTGAATTTTATCTTCTAACCTGTAGTTTTTTAAGACTTTATTAGTTCTAGTATATTCTTAGGATTTTCTATCGAATGTCACCTGCCAATGAGATTATTTCATTCTTCCTTTTTAATCCTATATACCTTTCCTTTCTTTCCTGGGTGTTGGGGCCACACTCCATGGGACTCAGGGGCTATTCCTTGTGCTGTGCCCAGGAATGATTCCTGGCAATGTTCAGGGACTATATGTGTCTTTCTGTACTATCTCTCCAGCCCTCTTGCTCACTGTTTCTCTTATTTTGGTGCCAGAAATACGAACTCAGGGTCTTGTCCATGCTAGACATGTGTCTTTCCACTTGAGCTATCTCCCTAGAATGCCTTTTATTTCTTTTTATTGACTAACTGCCCAGGGCTGAATTTTAAATACAATATTTTATGGGGTTTTTGGTTTTGCTTTTGTGTTTGGGGGGGCCACACCGCTGGTGCTCAGTGTTTACTCCTGACTCTGTACTCAAAGATCACTCCCGGTGGGTCCTGGGGAATAATGTGGGGTACCAGGAATAGAACCCGGATTGGATGCATGCAAAGGACCAGAGAGTAAAATAATTTAATTCAGTAAAAGGCTATTTTGGGAAACAGAACAGAATGGAGAGTAAGGCAAGAAAGCTCCCAGATTATGAGAGGAGTCTCCTAAAGCAGGATTCTTTATTTTATTTTGGGTTTTGGGGGTCACAACCTGCAGCATTCAGGGGCTATTCCTGGCTGTGTGCTCCAAGATCACTCTTGTCAGTGTTCGAGGGACCACATGCAGTACTGGAGATTCGAACCTGGTTTGGCTGCATGCAGGACAAATGTGATCCCTGTACTATCTCTCAGGCCTCATGTCTATTTGTTTAAATAACAGCCTTTATGAACTCTTGACATCCTGCACAGGAAGGTTCTGTCTCATTATCACTTGAAGCCTTTTTTTAAAAAAATTTATTTATTTATTTAATCACTTAAGTGATTAAGTGATTATTTATTTATTTATTTGCTTTTTGGGTTCACACCTGGCAACGCACAGGTGTTACTCCTGGCTCTGCACTCAGGAATTACTCCTGGCGGTGCTCAGGGGACCATATGTGGTGCTGGGAATTGAACCCAGGTCGGCCGCGTGCAAGGCAAACACCCTACCCACTGTGCTGTCACTCCAGCCCCTAAAAAGTTATTTTTATGACTTGGAGAGACAGAGCAGTGGGTAGTAAATTTGCCTTGCCTGTGGCTGACGTAGGCTCCATTCCTGGAACAATGTAGGGGCCCCCAAGCCCTGCCAGGAGTGATCCCTGAGCACAGAGTCAGGAGTAAGACTTGAGCACCTCTGGGCATGGCCTAAATACTGAAAATAAAATACAATAAAATAAGGAGCTAGAGAGATAGTACAGTAGGTGGGGTGTTTGCCTTGCATGCAGCCAACCCGGGTTCAATCCCCCACACCCCTTAAAGTTCCCTGACTCCTGCCAGAAGTGACCCCTGAGCACAGAGCCAGGAGCAAGCCCTGAGCTCTTCCAGGTATGCCCCCCCAAAAAAATCAGAATTGAGGGCCATAGAAGTAGCTTAGTGGAAAGGCCTTTCCTTGAATGTGTGAGGCACTTGATTGATCCCTGGCACCACCAAACAAAATTAGTAATAATATACTTCCAAGAGGGCTGGAGTGATAGCACAGTGGGTAGGGCGTTTGCCTTGCATGACCCGGGTTTGATTCCTCCATCCCTCTTGGAGAGCCTGGCAAGCTACTGAAAGTATCCCGCCCGCATGGCAGAGCCTGGCAAGCTCCCCATGGTGTATTCGATATGCCAAAAACAGTAACAAGTCTCACAATGGAGATGTTACTGGTGCCCGCTTGAGTGAATCAATGAACAATGGGAGGACAGTGCTACTGCCAAGAGGGCTGGAACCATAGCATGGTGGGTAGGGCGTTTGCCTTGCACGCGGCCAACCCAGGTTCGATTCCTTTGTCCCTCTTGGAGAGCCCGGCAAGCTACTGAGAGTATCTATCCCGCCCACATGGCAGAGCCTGGCAAGCACCCCGTGACGTATTCAATATGCCAAAAACAGTAACAAGTCTCACAATGGAGATGTTACTGGTGCCACTCTAGCAAATTGATGAACAAAGGGAGGACAGTGCTACAGTGCTACTTCCAAGAAAGCAGTCAGCCCTGATTATAACTATTGTCACTATTTGTCTTGTTTTTTGTGGTAGCTATCTAATTATGAATGGATAGTTACATGTCCCTATAGGATGTATAGCAGGTAAGTTGTATGCAGTTGATTGGAGTTCAGTCCTCAGTATCCCATATGGTCCCCTAAGCCCCACCAGGAGTGATACTTGAGTTCAGAGCAGACCCAAGAACCATGAATATGCCCCCAAACCAAACAAAATTTAAAATCCACAGAGCTGTACACTTAACGTGCATATTTGGGGCCTGAGAGATACTACTAAGATATGAATGAATTTTTTATTTTTTACAAGGCATGTGTTGTATCACTTGAGCCGCATCCCTAGCCCCTGTTTGAATCCCTTCCCTTCTCTTCCTTTCTTCCGTCCCATTCCCCCTTCCCTTCCTATTTTTCTTAATGGCTTATTATTATTGTTATCGTTGTTATTATTACTATGATGATAATTATGATGGGTTGTGGCCCCACCCCGCTGTGCTTCAGAAGGTATCTCTGGTTTAGTGCTCAGGAGGACCCTTGGCAGTGCTGGGGAATCATATTGGCGCCAGGGATTCCAATGCTAGGTCTATGGGATGAATGCTAGGCAAGAGACTTAACCTTGTACTATCTCTCCTGTCCATCAATGGCTTATTTTACTTACACTTCCCCCCCACAGGACCCGTACAGCACTGAAGGTGCGCGCCGTCGACGAATAATAAATATTTGCAAACCCCTAAACGAAGGAACGCACATCTGGCAACAAAAAAACACCCGGAATCCGTCTAATACCCTGCATACTCCTCAAAGAACTACATTTCCCTATACCCTTGTAGAGACACGCGCGCCTATGTCCAAAAAGCTTCACAACCGCGTCTCACGGTCCCTTCTCCGCCTTTGCCTGACGTAGTTTGCAGTGTTTTATGGGAAATGTAGTTCACGTGCTCCTCTTCCGGCCCCCGACAACCTCAACCAAACAAAACTTCCCAGAAAGCTGCGCGCAGGCCTGGGAAGAGACTCAAAATGGCGGACGCCAAAGATGGTGTTTTGGCTTCGGCGGCGTTTTCCACAGCACCAGTTTCATTCAGCTTCAGTCGCACGTCTTCCCGGAGACGACTAGCAGATTCTGGAGACGGCGCGGGGGCGGCATCGGAGGAAAAGGATTTCTTGAAGAGCGTCGAAGGGCGGGAACTGCACAGGTGAAGCTCGGGGATTGCCATCTCTCCGAAGTTGGGGCGGTGGGTGCTGGTGGGAAGATGGAAATATGGTGGACTGACTTGATGACAGTGCTCTGGGAAGCCTGGAGCACAGCTTGGAGGCGAGAAGCGAGGATTTTGTCGGGGAGGTCTGGGGCTCGGATAGCGGTGAGGACTGAGGAGACGGGATGTATTCTTGTGTGGCAGTGTCATCAGAACAAGGAACCCTAAGTTCTGTGCCTTCTGAGAGAAGGAAAGGAGGAAAGAGTTACAGAGCTCCTGAGAGTTCAGCTGAAACGGGGGGCTTCTCCAGTACGAAGTATTGGAGATGGGGCCGCCGGCGCTAGTTGAGGGGAGGCGTAATTGTCGAAGACGGGGGGGGGGGGAGCGCCTTCCACTGTAAAACCAACAATCCGGGAAGCTGGTCTGGAGCCCGAAGCTGGAGACCCTTTGGCTGAGGATGAGTAGGTCATTGGGCTCTCCACCCGGTTGTGGGGGGACCCTATGTGGGTCAGAATTCAACCTGATTGGCTGCATGCAAGGTAAGTGCCCTACACATGTGCAATCTCTTCACCTCAGAAGTGGGTTTTCAGGGGCTGGAGCGATAGCACAGCAGGTAGGGCGTTTGCCTTGCATGTGACCCACTCGGTTTGATTCCCAGTATCCCATATGGTCCCCCAAGCACCACCAGGAGTAATTCTTCAATGCATGAGCCATGAGTAACCCCTGTGCATCGCGGGGTGAGACCCAAGAAGGAAAAAGATAAAGTGGGTCTTCAGATGAGCAGAGGGTGCAGGACTGAGTACTACTTCCTCTCAGACACTGATATTTAAGAATTGGGGGTGTGCGTGGAGAGGGGAGAGTGCACTAAAGGCACCCTCAGAGGGACTGGAGTGATAGTACAGCTATTAGGATGCTTGCCTTGCATGCATCTGACCCAGGTTCGATCCCTGGCATCCCATATGGTTTCCCTGAGCCCACCAGGAATGATCCCTGAGCACAGATTCAGGTGTGGCCCAAAAAATAAAAAGAAGGCACTGTCAGAAGACACATAACTGTTCAGACAGCCCTGTGATGGAGGGCTTAACTGAGCAATGGGGATGAGTTTGGCTCCTGTGTTTTGTTCTGAATGAAGGGGTATGGCTGAGAACCCACTGATGATGCTGCCCTCCTAGCCTCACCCTTCTATGTCCACCTCAGTGTGAAGCCCTCGGAAACCCCTAAGGAACTGGTGATCCCTTTGATCCAGAATGGCCGCCAGCGCAGACAGCCCCCAACCCAGACACAGGAGCTGTATACAGATGACCCCGCGATGGATGGGGTCCTCTCGCAGGCTGTAAAGGAGTTGATTGAGGGTGAGTAGCCTCTCTTCCCCACCTCTCTCACTTTACAAATGAAGGTGGAAGGATAGAGCATCACCTAATTCTTCCCTCCTCATTCTTTTGTAGAATCCAAGAAGTCTCTGGAGGAAAGAGAAAATGCAGGTGTTGACCCCACTCTTGCAATCCCCGTGATTCAGAAAGGATACACTTCCAGCGAGCATGGGAAAGACGGTGAACCTCAGGCTGAGACAGTGAGCTGGCCCCTGATACTTCTCCTGCCCCCAAATCTTTCTTTGGCCTGTCTGTCAGGCTTGCTTCCCTGAACTCAGTAGGGAAAGTCTGTGGATACATTAGAGGCCTCTGCCTGTTCCCGCCTTTCATTCTTTTGGGAAGTCTTCATGTAACTAGGAGCCAACAATGTAGTTCAAGTGCTAGGCCCATGTGCTTCTAATGTGCAAGACCCTTTGCTTTGACCCATGACTGCTTCATGGTTCTCATTGCACTGCCAAGGGTTAGTGCTGAGAAAGTACAGCTAGGAGTAGCTCCCGCACACCACCAAAAGAATGGAAAAAAGAGGGACTGGAGAGACAGTGGTAGGGCACTTGCTTTGCATGAGACCACCCAGGGTTCCATCTCCAGCACTGCATAAGCTTTCATGAGCATTGCCCCGAGTGAGCCCCGAGCACAGAGCCAGGAGGAAGACTGGAGCACTGCTGAGTATGACCCTAAAATGAAAACAAATAGATAAATGTCAATCCAGTGGTGTGACAGAGTACTTGGCTTCTGAGGAGTAAGGCAACTGGACATTAAAACACCCTGAGGATCAGCTGTCCTGTGCATCAGAAGAGAACCTAGCAAACTATTATAGCTGAATAGAATGGGCGATACAGGAAATAATAGATGATGTCATAAATTCCTTGACCCTGAAAGAGCCTCCAATCATTGGGAAAAGATGAGTAAGAAGAGGCTGCTAAAATCTCAGGGGTGGGAGGAATAGCGATGTTATTGGCATCCGCTTGAGTTAATCGATGGACAACGGGATGACAGTGATAAGAGTGACAGTCATAAATCATCAGCTGAGGGATGGGTCTAATCTAGAAGGACACATAGGGTTTAGCTATACAAATGCTCCTACTAGCAACTACTTGGGGTCTGAGTAAAGCAGGCAGGGTGCTTGCCTTGCATGTAGCTGACCTGGATTCGTTCCCTGATACCCCATATGAGCTCTCCAGGAGTGGTCCCTGAGTGCAGAGCCAGGAGTAAACCCTGAGCACTGCTGAGTGTGGCCCAAAAACAAAACAAAAACTTTGGACAGGATCTTGAGAAATAGTACAGGAGGTAAGGTACTTGTTTACCTTACATTGGCTGACCCATGTTCAAATCCCTAGCACTACCTATGATTCCCTGAATACTGTTAGGGCTTACTCGTGATCACAGAGCCAGGAATAGCCCCTGAGCACTGCCATATGTGAGCCCCTGCCTTATTTTTTTTTGTTTTTTGTTTTGGGGTCATACCCAGCAGTGCTGAGGGCTTATTCCTAGCTTTCAGCTCAGGGATCATTCTTGGCAGCCTTGGGGGACCATATGGGGTACTGGGGGTTGAATCTGGGTTGGCTACTTGCAAGGCAAGCGCTCTAACCACTGTACTATTGTTCTGACTTCTGGTTCACTGCTTTATCCCTAGTGCATAGTACAGAATGTAGCTCAGAATAGGTGCTTTAGAAATATTTTGGGGTTGCCTTGTTTGTTTGGGGATGCCACCCCTGAGATGTTCAGGCATTCCTCCTGGCTCTTTGCTGAGGGATCAGTTCTGGAGGGACTCAGAGAATCATATGTGGTGCCAGGGATTGAACCAGAATCAGCTGCGTGCGAAGCAAATGCTTTCCTGTTGTACTATTTCTCAAGTCCCGTCCTTTTTTTCCCTTCATGGTGCTGGGGACTGAACCCAGGACCTCACATGCTTAGAGGCAGGTGCTCTGCTGCTGAGCTCCATCCCCGACCCAGCTTCAGGAATATGTGTTGAAGGACCAAACATGTTCATGGAGCAAGAGAAAATAAAAAATCACCCTTGGGCTGACAAGAAAGAAAAGAAGCATGGAGGGTCACCCTGTGGGCAGCAGCATTTTCTTTCGAGACTCCAGCTGCAGCCAAGTCTGACAACCTTTCCTCTACCTCAACCTACAGCTACCAGAGGAGGCCAATTATGAGGCAGTCCCTGTGGAGGCCTATGGGCTGGCCATGCTGAGGGGCATGGGCTGGAAACCCGGTGAGGGTATTGGCCGCACCTTCAATCAGTGAGTCCTGGGATTGGGGTAAGGGGACAGCAGACAGGACAGTGAACACGTGTCCCCCTATCGTGGTTACCACTCACCCAGAATCCTCCAGGCAGGAAGAGAACATGTTACAGTCCGGGAGTGCTTAACATGTTGACACCAGCACTTAACCACCAGGAACTAACAGGAGGATGTGTTTGTTGTTTCGTTTTGGGGCCACACGTGGCCTGGTTTTGTGCTCAGGGGACCACATGGTGTAGCAGGGATCAAACCCTAGTGGGCCGCCTGCAAAACAAATACCTTACCGTTTTGTTAGTTTCCCCAGCCCTGAGATGAGCACTTTAAGGTCCATTTCTCCTGCGTGGTAGGAATATTTATACCATCTCCCACGCAGAACTATTACTATATCTGGATTAACTTGGGTACCACTATAGGGGGTATAGTGGTTATATATATATATTATATACTATATACTATGAAATAGTGAAACATGTTGTTAAGTTGATCCCAGTGAAGTAGCCATATATTTAACTAAGAAGCAGCTCTGCTCTGAGATCAAGAATGACATTTGGGGGGCCAGAGCAATAGTGCAGCGGGTGGAGAGCTTAAGAATGGTATTTGTCAAGATTGCGGGTTGGGAGGGTGCAGCGAGACATAATACTGTGGATGGGGCATTTGCCTTGCAAGTGGCCAACCTGGGTTTGATCCCCAGCATTCCATATGCCCCCTCAAGCACTAACAGGAAAAAATTCCTGAGTGCAGAGCTAGTAACCCCTGAGCATTGCCAGCTGTGGCCTCAAAACAGAATGAAAATATTGGGGTAGGGGCTTTGAGCAAGGATTTGGGGAGGGAGGGAGATTGGACGTCATTTTAGTCTTCCCACCAAACCTCTATTCTGTGAAATATTCTGTCCTGCAGAGTGGTAAAACCCCGTGTCAACTCCCTGCGGCCTAAGGGCTTAGGGCTGGGTGCCTGCCTGGCAGAGCTCCAAAGTCTGGCCCCAGCTGGCCCCCACCGCCCACCAAAGCCAAATGAGGAGTGTGAGAAGGATAAAGAAGAGCAACCCAAGGAACTGGTGCCTGGAGGAGCTGTGGTCATGCTTTCTGGCCCGCATCGTGGCCTCTACGGGAAGGTCAGGAAGCCAGTGGGCCAGGGTCCAGGACAGGCAACATGACACTATGGTGCCATGGCCAGAGGAAGATTCAGGGTTGGGGTACAAAGACTAGAAGGCTTTGTCTTTCAGGCCTGCTTGTGGCTTCATTCAGTGACTTGGGGCTCCTTGCTGGGTGATTTTGGTGGTTTTGAACCTTGGTATAGAGCTATGTAGGAGAAAATGCTATAGGCCCCAGTGCCTGAGGATTAAATGATTAATCCTAGTTTAGGCCTCACAGCATGTGCTTTGTGTTTAAGAGATAGGGTTTTCAGTTAGGATCTTGGAATGTGAGTAGAGTCCACTCAGACCCTGTTTAACTTTACCCCACACACACTTTAGGTGGAAGGCCTCGATCCAGACAACGCACGGGCCATGGTTCGTCTGGCCACAAAGAGCCACATGGTGACTGTAAGTGAGTACTGCCTGCGGCCCGTCTCCCAACAGGAATTTGACAAGAACACAAATTCCGGTGAGTAGGCCTTTGACCTAGGTGGGGGAGTTGGAGCAACCGTCCCAAGGGGGTTGGTAGGGTCTGTCTTGTGAGGGAAGAGAAGGCCGGTTGTGGAGCATCCGCTGACTGCTGGGCTGAGACTGCTGGCCTTAGAAGATGAGAAGGCACAGAAGTGATTGCTTCCATTTGAGTTTCCATGTGATTGAGAAGGCCTGGGTCTCTAGCCACATGGTAAGGGGGAAGAAACAGGTTTAGACACCAGTTCAAACTGCTAGGATTAGGGTTCGGTTTTTTTTTTATTTTTTTACTTTGATGATACTCTGGAAATGCTCAGGAGTTACTCCTGGCTCTGCGCTCAAAAATTACTCCTGGTGGAATTCAGGGGACCATATGGGATGCTGACGATCGAACCTGGTTTGACTGTGTGCAAGGCAAGCACCCTACCCTCCACCTGGCCATGCTCAGAGGTTACTCCTGGCTCTGTGCTCAGGAATTACTCCTGGTGGTGCTTGGTACTTGGGTTTATTTGGCAAGGAAAACTGTTTTGCTGAGGGACAATGAGGATGGATATATCCTTGGGGGCTTCCAAGCTGCTACTAAGCTGTTAAATCACTCTAACACTGTTGGAGTGGGCTGGGTGATGAACGAAGGCTTTCTGAAGGAGTCCCAGAAGATTGAGGGGAACGGTAAGAGCATGTGCCTTGTCCTGGGGTGGGGGGACTTTGTTGGGTGGGAGGTGCTCTAGGCTGAGGCATATCCTGAAAAGAGGGAATGATAAAACACTGAGTCTCTCCCTGGTTATCCTTACTATCCCCTTGAGCAGGCCAGGCTGATAGAAGCTACCCCAGACAACTGAATGGAAAAGGCTCACAGGACCTGGACCTCTGGGAGGACTCACATAGGAAGCGGAAGCATCTTCCAGACCGGTGGGTCTCTGAGCTGGGAGGAGACAGTGGGGATGCGGAGATGTGAGAGCTTCCCGCAAGTCCTCCAAAGCTTCTGGGGCAAGGAGAACCCCTGGAAAGAACTAGAAAGGGTGTCGTGATTGGGTCTCACGGCCACAGCAAAGGTGAGGATGATAAGCCAGGTCTGAACATGAATGCTGCCACCCTCTCCACAGCCAGAGCAGACCCTCAGCCAAGGGGAATGCAGTAACAGCCTCCCGGACTCAGCACTGGCTGCACAGAGACCTGCGGGTGCGGTTTGTGGACAAACAGCACAAGGGTGGCCACTATTATAATACCAAGGTCAGAACCCAACCACCCCAATGCCCCTTCCTCCCAAAGCACCCCCCAGTGCTTCCACAGTCTCATGTCTGCTGACCCTCTCTACGCAGATGACCATTGAAGATGTACTGAGTCCGGGTATTTGTGTGTGCCGAACAGATGAAGGCCGTATATTGGAAGGTGAGTCTGAGATGGGCCTCTGGGTCATGCTTCTGGAGGCTGATCAAGAAGGGCACTATATGGTGCTGGGGTTGGGCATTATAGAGAGTACAGGCAGGGGACTGAGTTCAATCCTTGGCACCACAAGACACCAAAGCAAAGCAAAACACAGAAGGGTGTGTTAGACCATCAACTTGGCCTAGACAAACACTGGGAGCTTTTGTCCTTTGCCCAGCAACTTTTCAAAGGACATTAGAGAAGCTAGAGCTATAGTAAAGCTCTATAGGTAGGGCACTTCCCTTGCACACCGCCAAACCGGGTTCAATCTCCAGAATCCCTTGTGGTCTCTGCAGCACCTCCAGGAGTGTTCCCTGAGTATTGCTAGGTGGGGCCCCCAAACCAAAAATGAAACTTAAAGGACATCAGAGTCTCCTATAATAAGAATTCATCTTGTTGCAGGTGACTGATATGAAGTTGGGAGGAGAGATGGCAGTCTTTAGAAGGAAGTCTACTGCTTCCTCAGGCATTTCATCAGTCACCATGACTTTTTTTCTGTACCTGCACAGTATAGATCTCATGTCTTACCAGCCTCACTTGTCACACCTCACCTGGGTTCCACTTGTTCTTCAGTCTGGTTTGGTTTTGGGTTCATACCCAGTGATGCTCAGGTCTTACCCCTGACTCTACATTCAGGTGAATTACTCCTGGCAGTGCTAAGGGGACCATATAGGATGCTGAGATCCAACCTAGATGATCATCCCCATGCAAGGCAAACATTTTACCTGCTGTACTATGGCTCTGGTCCCAGAGTTCCACTTGTTTTGCTTGGTCTGGGAAATGAGCCTTGCCACCCAATTTCTTGGAGCCATTGGAATCCAGGCTGGAGCAAAGAATTGCTTTTTGCAGGAAAAGAAAGTCCTAAGTCCTTCTCAAGCCTTCCCAGGTTCATTGCCTTCCCTCCCAAGAAAGAATTTCAGGAGACAGTAAATTGTGAAGTATAGTAGTTTTACTTAGAGATTATGAGGAAGGAAAGAGAGAGAGAGAGAGTAATGTGTTTAAGAAAGATCCCAGGCTTCTCCAGAGGACTGAGCCAAGAGTACCCATCTCAAGTGGAGATGAGGGCCATGCCTCCAGGAAGGGGCGGTGCCTGCTTGCCTTCGCAGAGTTGGTTTTATAAGCTTTCTCCCAAACTGCCCCCATATGGGGCTTTCTACATAGATGATTTCATTGCTATGGCATTGTCAAGGGGAAGAGCTTGTATCCTTGGGTATCCACCTGCATGTACTTATTGTAACCCGTTGTTCCTGCTGGAACTTCTCTCTGGAAGTGGTCCAAGCTTCTCTGGACTGGTGCTGACACAAGGTGAGGATTATCAGACCTCAGTTTCCATGTCCAGAAAATGAGTGCAGCCATCCTGCATTTTGGTACTTCTGGGTTATTGACAAGAGAACTTGTTCAGATCCCATCTTGGTCTTGTTACTTCCTGAAAACTCTCTGACAGCCCCCACCCCCTCACCCCATGTCCTTGCCTGTGTTAGTCTTTACCCCATGTTTCCATCTGAGAAAATAGGAAGTGACCTGTGTGTGGTGTTTTTTTTGTTTGTTTGTTTTTGTTTTTTGGGGTGGCCAACAAAATGGTGGGTTTTTGTTTTTGTTTTTTTGCTTTTTGGGTCACACCCGACAATGCACAGGGGTTACTCCTGGCTCATGCACTCAGGAATTACTCCTGGCAGTGCTTGGGGGACCATATGGGATGCTGGGAATTGAATCCTGGTCGTCCACATGTAAGGTAAACGCCCTACCTGCTGTGCTATTGCTCCAGCCCCAAAATGGTGTTTATTAGTGGCGGTGTTTCTTATAATACTGATTCAGTCAAAAAACTACAACCATAAATGTGTTTAAATTTTTCTTTCTAAACAAATAGGATACAGTTTCTTTTCAAATTGAAAGTAAACAGGTATTGAAAAAGAAAAGGAATCCCCTAATTGTGGGAGGAAAAAATATGATTCTCATAATACAAATAAAATACATGTTTTAATTTCATATAATTTGTTCAGGTGATATCCTTAGTATTTTTTTCCCTGAATGTCCTAAACACAACTGTGTAGAAACATACTTATTATTATTATTATTATTTATTTGCTTTTTTGGTCACACCTGGCGATGCACAGGGGTTACTCCTGGCTCGTGCACTCAGAAATTACTCCTGGCGGTGCTCAGGGGGACCATATGGGATGCTGGGAATCGAACTCGGGTCGGCCGTGTGCAAGGCAAACGCCCTACCCGCTGTGCTATTGCTCCAGCCCCCGAAACATATTTTTTATTGAATCACCATGAGATTGTAGTTACAAAGATTTCAAGATTGAGTTTCAGTCATACAGTGATTGAATACCCATCCCTCCACTAGTGTACATTTTCCACCACCAATGTCCCCAGTATCCCTCCTGCCACCCCAACCCTACTCCATCCCCCTGTCCATTGTAAGAGACAATTTCCTTCTTACTCTCTACATTTGGGCAATATGGTTTGAAATACAGATTCTGAGAGGCCATCATGTTTGGTCCTTTATCTACTTTCAGCACACATCTCCCATCCTGAGTGATCCCTCCAACCATCATTGACTTAGTAATCCCTTCTCTATCCCAGTTGCCTTCTCCCCCAGCTCGTGAGGCAGGCTTCACAGTGAAGCAATCAGGAAGTGACCTGTTTTCTTTCTCCCCCTGAGGATTGCTGCATCACAGGCTGAAGGATGGCATCTTAAGTCACTCTCCCAGTGTGGGGCCAGGCTGCTGACTTACCTTCAATAAGTGGTGTCTTTATGTCTTTTTTTAACCCCAATCTCTGTCCGTCATCTCCCCCCTTTCTGACAGCCATCACCACGAACTGCCGCTGAAACTTCCCCCTCGGTGAAATGGGCATGGTGGGCTGTGACCCCATCCAGAAGAGAGGAAGGGTCCCGACTGGGGCTGGATCTCCCTGGAGGGTTCAGACCCCCTCACACCTTTGTTCCCCTACAGGGCTGAAAGAAGACATGCTGGAGACGCTGGTCCCCAAGGTTGAGGGCCACCGGGTGATGGTGGTGCTGGGACCCCAGGCTGGAAAGGTGAGTCCCAGACCTGAAAGTGTGGGGGGAGGGCTGTGCTGGCTTGGCCATGCTAACACCCCACCTTTTTCTGTAATTTTTTAATGAAACACTGTGAGATACAATTACAGACTTACACACTTTCTTGATTACGTTTCAATCATACAATGGTCGAGTACCCATCCCTCCACCAGTGCCCATTCACCACCAGTGTTCCCAGTATCCCTCCTGTCACCCCCACCTATCTTCCCCCACCTCCGCCTCTGTGGCAGGCACATTCCCTTTTGCTCTCTCTCTCCTTTTGGGTGTTATGGTTTGCAATGCAATACAGGTATTAAGTGGCCATCATGTTCGATCTGTAGTCTACTTTCAGCACGCGTCTTCCATCCTGAGCAAGCCCTCCAAGCATCCTTTGCTTGGTGTTCCCTTCTCTATCTCAGCTGTCTTTTCTCCCAGCATGTGATTCCAGCTTCCAAGCCGGCTAACACCTCACCTTATCACTGCTGTAGGTGGGCCGCCTACTAGGCCGGGACCAAGCACGGAGTCGGGCCATGGTGCAGCTACAGAGAGAGAATCAGCTTGTGGAGCTTCACTACGATGCTGTCTGCCAGTACATGGGCCCCAGTGATGCTGAGGATGACTGACACCCCTGTCACCCCACTCCCATCCCCTAGACTGTTGACCTGTGGAATCTGGAAAGGCTGCCTTCCTGCAGGGGAGAAGAGTCTTAGTCTTATTCTTTCCTCTGGGGACACACTGGGTTCTCAGTGGATTGGGATGGGTCAGTTGGGAAACCTGAAGCAAGCCCAGGACTTAACAGGATTTAACATTTACCAAAACCCATTGCACATGTTGACTTAAAAGTTATGTCATCCTTAATGGTCCACCAGTGGAGGGGAAACCTTTCATCTGCAGCTCTCTCCAGGCTTGGGTTCAGGACAAGGGTGAGAACCCAGAGTGCAGGCAAAGTGTTCCCTGCTGGAAATGGACACTCTTGACATGTATGGTCGGGAGGCCGCAGACACCTGCTTTGAACAGGAACATCACAACAGGGACTCTGCTCTAACTCTAGTCCAGAGCAGACCCCCAGAGGGTATCTTGAACCCTAACTGATTTAGTTGGGTGGGGCAGGGGTGCTCTGACTCTACATACTTTCTAAAGAAACTGCTGAGTTTCTGGTGCCCCTTTGAGGCAAAACTGGCTTGCAAGTAAAAGTTTGATCTGTTACAATTCAGAATGATTCTGGTTGCTCCTTAAGAAGTATTTTTCACAGAAAAGGTGGTAGTCGGAGGAGCCTCAGACTTGTTCCAGTTTTTATAGCTTCTTGTAGAAAAATCAAGGAGAGAAGGCCAACATTTAGGCACAGTTGTTCTTCCGGGTCTCTTCCTCCTCAACCTCCCCCCCCGCCACACACACACATTCACACAAACTCCTTAAGTTTCTGGTTCAGTAAGTGGCATTTTAGTTAGACCTGGGGCCAGGAACTGCTGCAGGATCACAGAAGCACAGAACAGGAGCACAGAACAGGCCTGGAGGGTTCAGACCCACAGCCCTCAAGTGAGGACCACGGCCCAACTGCTAGCCACCTTTGTTGGCCACTGTGAAGTGGACTTGTAGGGACAGATTTGCTCTTACGTTTGTAATGAATTCTAGGCTGAAGGTTTTTAAGATCATTCAAATAGGGTTGTGGATGCAGTGGGCAGAGAGCAAACCCTCCCCCAGTACCTCTAGTCCTATAGTTACCTTTGTGGTTATACACACTGCCTCCCATTCCCCAGAATTCCAGATAAAGTTGTACTGATTTCTTTTGTCTGTAGAACAAAAATGTTTATTAAAATCATGGTGTTTCACTAATAAAAATTTTTTAAAAATAAATAAACCTTAAACCCATTTTGTGAGTTTTTCTCCCACAACTTGCAGATATCATATAAAAACATGTCAGAGACTTCACATCTGTCATTGATATGCACCTATCTATATCTAACCTCTAATCCATATAATCTTTGATATAGACTAGATTTCTATATTCACATCCAGCTGGTAAAAAGTGTCAACATAGAGTTAGTGATAAACAAGCCAAGTGTGTGGTTGGTCCAACTGCAGCAGTTTTGCAATTAATTGATCACGGCCATCTACAGATTTCTTGGTCTAAAATAATAGTATAGCAGGTAGGGCATTTGCCTTGCACGTGGTCAAACTGGGTTTGATCTCTAGCAGCCCATGTGATCCCTGAACTTGCTAGCAGTGATTCCTGAGCATAGAGCCAGGAGTAAGCCGAGAGCACCACCCGGTGTTGCCCGCAAACAAAAAATTACCACTAAATATTACCATTTGTTTTTATTTACAGAAAAGAAATGTGTCTTGCCCAGGTTCCCACTGTTGGCAAGTAGAATACAACACAATTTTCTCAGCCCATTTTCACTCAGAGATCGTGCACAGATTTGACAAAACACTTCTTTTAAAAGATGTAATATGGACCTGGAGCGATAGTACAGTGGGTACAGCATTTGCCTTGCACGCGGCTGACCCGTGTTCGATCCCCAGCATCCCATATGGTTCCCCAAGCATCATCGAGTTATTCCTGAGTTCAGAGCCAGGAGTAACCCCTGTGCATCGCTGGGTGTGGTCCCAAAAGCCAAAATCAATTAAAAAAAGATGTAATATGGCAAGACAGAATGGGAAGAGCCGATGAATGAAGGCTTCTCACATTGTAGTATATCTAAATGCTTTTGTGGGATTTAGGCCACACCTGGTTATGCTCTGCTCAGGGTTTACTCCTGGCTCCGTGCTCATGAATCACTCCTGATGGTGTTCAGAGGACCATATTCAATGCTGCAGACTGAACCAGGGTCAGTGGTATGTAAGGCAAGTACCTTGCCCCTGCACTCTGACTCCAATAAACGCTGGGGTTGTTTTTTTCTGGGTGGGAGGCACACCCGACCATGATCAGGGATCACTTTTGGAAGGATTCAGGACCATACGTTGGTGTCAGGGTTTGAACCCGGGTCTGATGTGTGCAAGGAAAGTACCTTTGTATCTGCTGTACTCTGCCTCCAATAAATGCTTTTAAAACATTTCCAGAGTATGTTCAATTTTAGTCAGTTTGATGCACACTGCTTCTAATAGGGAAAATGAGAATGAGCACTGTCATACTGTAAATTATAAAAACATGGAATACTTCACAAATTTACATGTCATCTTTGCTTAGGGGTTGTGCAAATCTCTGACACTCCAATTTTTTGTGTATGCACTGCCAAAATGGGCACCCAATAAATTTTGATGAGCATTTTGGACCACATTTTCTTGTTGCTTTGGGGTCACACCTGGAGGTCCTCAGGACTTACTCCTGGCTCTCTTCAGCCCCTTTCTGATAGAGAGTTTATAAGTCTTCCAAGCCTGCCTTTAAGATAGGCCAGAGATATAGTGAAGTGGGTAAGATGCTTGCCTTGCACACTGCCGACAATGGTTTGATCCCTTGTATCCCATATGCTTTCCGGAACACCATCAGGAGTGATTCCTGAGCAACGTTGGGTGTAACCCCAAAATCCACCCTGTAAAGTAGGGGGCTTGCATTGCATGTGGCTGACACATTAAATTTCCTGGCACTGCATAGTCCTCCATGACTCACCAGGAGTGAGTGAGCCCTGAGTGCATAGACAGGAGAGAGCCCTGAGCACAAATGGGTGTACCCAAAAACCAAAGAGAAAGATCAGGACTGCTTTGGCTGTATCCAGAATGCCTAGCCCTCAGCAGAGCATCTGGTCCCCCTAATAAGCCAAGGAGAATTTGGTGCCTCCCTGAGATGATCCCTCCTGATCCTGATGGTTAAGGACAGGGCTCCTTCATCTCCAAGAAGTATGGACACCATGAGCAGGATTTCTCAATCTGTCTCTTATCCATTGTCCACAAAAACTTGTTCCTAAAGACTCATAGAGAGACCCAGGGAGATGGTACAGCGGGCAGTGTATTTGCCTTACATGCAGCTGACGTAGATTTGGTCCCTGCCATTCCAGCAAGTGCCCTGAGCCCTGCCAGGAGTGATCTCTGATCACAAATCCATGAGTAAGCCCTGAGCACTACCAGATGTTGCCCCTAAACCATACACACATTTTAAAAAAGACTGAGTCTAGCTTTCTTTTGGCTTCCTGGCCTGGCGTTTGTAGGCGATTCAGGTTTCCCCTTTGGCAGTAGGCACAGCAGCAGCATCTATGAATCTAGAAGCTGGCAGGACTCCTGCATTAGCCTAGAAGTCGGACCACTATAGTTTGCACAGAAGCTGCGCAGGAGGTGAGGGGAGAGGCTGGACTGGCACTCAGTGGCATGCCCAGGGGGAGGTTCTGGCTTCCATCTGCAGTACAGCAAAAGAAGAAAAAAACGTGTCTATCCTGCCAAGTGTGCAGAAGTTTCCCTGACAGGGTGGTGCCTCTGAGCCGTGAGTTTGTGGCAGATTTAAGAACTAGCTTTGCCATCCAGGCAGAAGTGAACCATTTGAGTGACATGGGGGCCAAGCCTGGTAGCAGATATATATAGTTAGATGTTCTTATTTTTCTCTCTCTCTTCTTTTGGGGTCATACCTGCCAATGCTCAGGGCTTACTCCTGGCTCTGCACCTAGGAATCACTCCTGGCAATGCTCAGAGGAATTTATGGGATGCCAAGGATTGAACCTGCCAAGGATTGAACCTGGTAGGGTGCAAGGTAAGTGCCTTACCCAGTGTACTACTATTCCAGCCCTTCTTTTCTCATTTTGGTTTTGGGGACATACCTGGTGGTGCTGAGTGCTACTCCTGGTACAGTGTTTAAAAGTCACTCCTAAAGATGTTCCTGGGACCACCTGGTACTGGGAATAGAACTCAGGCCTCCTGCATACAAAACATGCCTGGAGTCAGGTAGATAGTACAGCAGGTAGTGCGTGTGCCTTGCACATGCCCGGCCCAGGTTCGATCTCTGGAACCTTATATAACATGAACCCCACTAGGAGTGATCCTTGAGCATAGAGTCAGGAGTAAGCCCTGAGAACCGCTGGGTATGGCCCCCAAACAAACAATAAAAAGCATATGCTAACCCATTTGAAAGACCCAGCACCCAGTCTTTTCTGTCATTCCCTTCATGAATAGGGAGAGTCTCTTTAGCCCATAATGGTATCGCTCTGTTTGTGGCATCACACTGAAGAGCAATTATCCAGCAATTTGGAAAACTCTGTGAGGGGTAGTGGATTCTCACCAAGAGCCCTGTCAATTCAACAAACATGTCTTGAAGTCTGGTATGCCAACTATGTTTTGCATGCTGGAAATATGGTAGATGGTAAGCTGTTCATTGAACAAAGATTGTGTTCTGGAAGCCAAAGAGACACTTCAACAGGCTAAGCACATGCTTTGCACCAGGAAACCCAGGTTTTATCCCCAGTACTACAGAATATCCCAAGTACCACCAAGTGCCCCGATCACTGAGCAGGAAGTAGCCCCTAAGCACCTCCAGTTGTGGTCCATGACAGAATACCCCTCCCCCCCACACTCACAAATTCATACTATAAGCTAGTAGGTGCTGGTAATTTAGGTATAAAACTAAGAAAGTTCCTTGCCCATTAGCGGCTGATATGCAGCGGGGCTGAGTAACCATAAACAATAAGGAAGGAAGTGATCAGGCTGTAGCAATAGTACAGTGAGTAGGGTGCTTGCCTTGCACACAGCCAACCTGGTTTTGATTCCTGGCACCCCATAGGGTCCCACAAGCAGCACCAAATATGATTCCTGAATGCAGAACCAGGAATAAGCCCTGAGCACCTCCAAGTATGTCCCCCAAACAAAACAAAACAAAATAAAAGATGGCAGCTATACAGGGATAGAGACTTTGCTCAAACGATTGTTCTATAGGGTCCAGCAATTACCTCCCTCGATGTCAACCCAAAGGAGCTGGAGATATTGCTGAACAAAAACCTGCAGTCAGATGTTGACAGCAGCTTTACTCATAATTGCCCAGCTTGGAAACAAACAAAGATGCACTTCAGTAGGCGCATCCAAACAATGGGAAATTATTTATCACGATGAAAAAAATGAGCTATCAGCCCCTGGGATGGAGTTTCATCATAAAGTACATGCCTTACAAGTATGAAGCTCAGGGTTTAATGGCCAGTGCCATGAAATAATAATCATAAGAAATGAATTATAGGGGCCAGAGTAACAGTACATCGGGTAGGGCGTTTGCCTTGCATGTGGCCGACCTGAGTTTGATTCCCGGCATCCCATATGGTCCCCCAAGCACTGTCATGAGTAATTCTTGAGTACAGAGTCAGGAATAACCCCCGAACATTTCTGGGTGTGACCCAAAAAGGAAAATAAAAAGAAACGAATTATGAAGACTGGATAATAAAACCGACATGGGGGACAGAAAAATAATACAATGGTTATAGCACTTGCAGGTGGAGCTAAGGGGCTTGCTTTGCTTGTAGTTGCATCTGCCAGAACCCAATGCCACATATAGTCCCCTGAAGACCTCTGGGTATGGCCAGAAACCCAAGCCCTCCCCTCCAATTTTTAATTTGTTTTTGGGCCACACCCAGCAGTGTTTAAGGGCTGACTGCTGGCTCTGAGGTCAGGCATTACTCGAGGTGGCTCAGGATGTTGGGAGGGTGCCCAGAGATAAATCCTGAGTCAGCAGCATGCTAGGCAAGCACCCTACTATCACTCTTGCCCCTCTTCCAATTTTTTAATAATAAAATAAAAATGAAAGTGCTTTAGGGCCAGGGAGATGGTTCAAGTGTTTCAGTGAATGATTTGTCTGCAGGAGCACCAGATTTGATCTCTGATACATGTGGTCCCCACAGCACTGCTGGGAGTGACTTAAAACAGTGAGTAGTCAGTCCCCTGAGCACCACTGGGTGTGGTCTCCAAAC